GCAACACAGGGGACTGCTACAATCATAAATCCAGGGCAAGCACTTAAAAATCTGACTATTCATCCATCAATTTCAGCACACAAGTGTCTGGACAGGCATTCTGAAGCTGACCTGCTGCAGTAACCTGTGTAAGTGTGCAACTTGTTACATGCACCTGGGGACTCATTTCATTAATGGTTAACAAAGTGACCCCTACGTGACAGCAACAAATTCAAGATGGGAACATGGATGCTTTTAAATTGTTTGCATTTCATTCATAACGTAACTGAATGATACTGAAAATTGAGCTCCCTCTCCCACTGTAGTTTTAACTACAATCTTTGAAATCCTTAAGGATTAGAGTCTGGTAATTTCAGTTACTTCCTTTCTCTGGAGCCCATATGGTAACTATAGCTAAAAATTTTGAAGATTTTATTTGCAATCTGGGAAAAACCATTTTAATGGTCTTCTCCAGAACAACCCTTCAATTTTTACCTGCCTTCTTCACAGCCATCTTTGTTAAAAAATATGAAACATGACCAGTTATTAACATGACTAGCACAGTAGCAATAGAGTGATCAGGTGGCCTGAATACTGAAGGAACAACACTTCCTCAAAAAAGGTAAATCAAATTTCACCAGACCCAATCAATCTGAAGATCTCCTCTTAAAGTACTGACAGTACTGGCAAGAATCACTGAGGTACACAGAGGCCCAGAAAAGTATCAGAAGACCAAAAAAGGAAAAATGGCATTCCCATCTTAAAAAATACAGGAAAAGTGCAGCAGTCTGGGAGGTAGTCTGCTTAGCATCAATACTCAGTGAACAAAACCTATCTTTTGTAATTCTCTAGAAGATAACTAGAGGAAAACTACAGCAAATGTGGATTTGTTAAGAGCAAAGCATGCCAGATTAGTCTAACCGGCCTTGAGACTCATTAGGCTGCCACAGCAGGGGAAGATGCAGCAAATGCCTCTTAATTTTAGCACCACCTTTGGTTACAAACTGTAAAGCAAACCAGCGAAACTACATTCAGGGATCTATACTGTGGTATTTTTTTAAAGATATTGACTCAGGTAAAGAAACACTCCTAAATGAGCTGCTAAGATTACCACTGTACTTGCTAAAATTCTTTGGATTTGAAGATCCTGTACTTGCAGTGATCCTTACTAAACATTCACCAGAGATATTTTCTGTGCAACACTCACCAAAAGGTAGAAAAAATATCATTGGAACAGTGGGACTCAAAACAAATTTTCTCTTTGTTTGGCCTGAACAGCATGCACTAGAGTCAATGTCCTGAGTTTCAAAAAAGATAAATTCTAGCACCACAGAGGAAAGGATTTTGTGCTAAAAAACATTAACCCTTATGGCTGTAAAATGCAGTTCTGTACCACATAAAGCTAAAAGAGAATCCACTCTCTGATGCATCACTCCTGTGAAAGTTGACAAGAGATGAAGGTTGTAGGAAATCAAGATGTACAGCTTAGCAAAAATAATACAGCCACTGTGTGAAGATCATATGTGAAGGCCAGGCAAGGCTTTCCTACCAAAGAGGAAGGCTAGGGTGGGACAAAAGGCAGCAAAATGAGAAGTTCTTGTTTTCTTTAAAAGATATTCTCAGGAAGAAAAGCAAAAGGTATTAGTGTATCCTTATATTAATTTTAATAGTGATAGCTACTTTGAAACTAGAAAAGAAAGATTATGCCAAAGACTCCTGACTTTTTGAAGGCAAATAACATCTAAATGTACTCTTCCAGCTGCTGTCTGGAAAGCCATCTAGTGATGCATGACCATTAAAAGCAAGACCTTGCCATTCCTGTACTTCCCCTTTGCAGCAAGGACTAAACCTAATCCATGTTTTATCAGGACATACACCAATAACTCACTGACTCACCTCAGATTAAATTTTCCTACTCACAGGTTACGCCATAGTTGGATTTCTCATGATTTTATCAGTAATTCCCTGGTGTACCTGTACTTGCCATTTTTAAGAGTGTCTCATCAAAGAAACAGACTTGATGAAATGACTTACTATAACCCTGGCTTAGAGAGCTCTTAAATAAAGTAAATCAGGGAATTTGAAAATAAGCTCTTAAAAGTCAAGCTACCCTAAACATAATGAATCCCTCCAACAAAATGTTATTTTCTTCTTAACCACATTTATTATGCCTACAAATTTTAGTTGCATGCTAGAAATACGTAGAAATAGAAATAATACAACAAAATGCACAGAGCAACTTTTCCACAGTATGGTAAATCCACCGTAGTGATGAACTGTGCACTACAGTGAAACAAAGCTGAAACCAGAGAAATGATGTCTTCTAGTGATGACTGCATTATTGAACACTTAAACATCAAAACTATAAGGGTGGCAGTAGACACATTGCACAAGCTTGAAGACAAACACTTTTCCAGCTTGAAATTTGAATATTCCTCATCAGCAGGCAGCAAATGCATGATCAGTTCCAAACTGTCCACCGTAGTAGCTGAACCACTCCTGAGTCCAGCCTGGCAACGGGAACAGCATAAATAAGGAAGCCATTTTTTCCCCTCAATTCTTTTGAAGACACAGTGTAAGTACTACTTCAATTCCAGTGCAACTCTTTCCAGATAGACATAAGAGGGCACTTAAAGTGAGAAAAGTGACAAAATCCCACAACATACTGGACTCACAAATTTAAAACCACAGGAACACCTTAAATTACTGCTGTTACTTGAGGGTGGGTGATCTGAAGTTACACAAAGTTGGTCAGAGCACTGTGTTAATAACATCAGGGCTGTGGGTTCAATCCTCACATGGAGTTTTACTTAACCCCAGAGTTGAACTGGATGATCCTTGTGGGTCCCTTCTAACTCAGAATATTCTGTGAACCTGTGAACCAACACTAACTTTGTGTTTTGGTTTGTCTGGTTTTTTTATGAGAACATTTACAGAATAACAGGAAGTAAGCACATTCTCAAACCTATCACTCCTTTAAGACATCATGGCAACAGCAAAGAGGTGATAAAGCACCTGGTACATAATCTTGACCTGACAAGCAACTCAGAGGTGGCAAAGAAATGCACATTAGAGTAAATATTGAAGTATAACATGAGCCATGTTCATCCAGAGCAGATTTCTTTATTATGCAAGATAAACCAGATTTCTTGCTGGAGGAATGAAAGCAGAGGAGGGCATCTCTTATGATATTGAACAGAACCAAAAGAGTCACCAAGTGCATCAGGAAAGATGAGCCTACTCAAATCCTTTCAATATTTTTCAAGGAACTTTTGAGTTCTAAAAATATTGAGTGGTTTGAGGTATCTTTGCAAGACCTGCTTTGGCAATACATTACAGGGACAGTGTAACTGTTCAAATTATAAATTTTAGAAACCTAGGAGGATTTAGGCACATGTGAATGAAATTAAATCAAAGCACCTCAAGACGTGGAAACACCCACCAACCTGAGTTTGCCAAATTGAGATTCTTTAGCTCTTCTATATTATTACAGTTCAACACAGTCTTATACATAAATGAATTCTGAAACAAAAAAATATGTTAAAAAAGTAAGAAACCCTACTTTTGCCTCACACTTACAACTAGTAGGAAGAACATAGTTACTAAGTAAAGTATCAGTTATCAAAGCTTCATATGGCATAGCAGGTTCTTCTTTTGCTTTCACTCTACCTCCTCAATAGAAAGGGCAGAATCAAGGTCATCAGCATGGTTGGTATTAGCTGTTTAGAATGTATTGAATTTTGCCTTGACTTCTGAATTCTACAAATCCTGGTTCTGAAATAGTCCTGCAATGTGTAGTTTACTCAGATTCACTACCATATAAAACAACTCCTTGAGCATTAGTGTGTCTTACAGCTTGATGTGCTCAAAATACCAACTCCACGGCTGAAGGTATCAGCACTCACTGCAAAATCACAGAAGACACACAAAAAAGACAATACAGATTACACCAGGGAACTGAATCTTTGATCTTCTACTATTCTTCTATTTCATCTCACAAGTAACACAAGACATATCTACCCTGGCAACTATTCTGAATAATTAACTATTGATTATAGAACATTATTGAAACATACCATACCACTCAGGATTTGGATGACATGTGAAAAGCAAGATTTTAAAGAAAAAGCCAATTGTCCAACTAGGGGAAACATTCTCTAAAACGATGCAATGTTAGCATTACTGTCATCAATTTCTTCTACTCACTTTGAAAACAAGGCTACAAGCTACAGAAAAATTTAGATTTCTAAGGCAAGCCATTCAATAGATATAAAACTATGGAGGCTGCCTACAAACACAAGGCCACTGAATACATACCTACCTGACCTGGCTGACTGCTCAGCGTTATCTTCCAAAGTACAATCAAAGCAATCAGTTGTTCCTTTATTTCAATTTTCTAACAGAATGGGGGGAATGAGATGGGAAAAGGCTCACAATGATTATAATGAAAATCCCAAAAGTATTAAAGAAATTTAAACACTACACCCCACTGAGATCGTGTAAGTACCAAGAGGGGGGGCTGACATACATTCATTCAGACACTTATGAGGTTCGGTTTTTTCCTTCCTGCCGGAGAAGACAGAAATTTGTGGCCAGTAGGTGCATTTAAAATCGAAAGGGAAAAAGCAAAGACCAACGCTGAAACCTCGCACAAGTCCAGCGCTATCTCGACGATTGAAACGACCGGCACTTGCCGCCTCAGGCCTCCCTCTCTCCCGCTCCCCGCGCCCCTCGCAGAGTCAGAACCCCTGTGGCTGAGCGGAGCCAGCGAGAACCAGCCGGGAAGCGGGAGGGATGAGCCGGGAAGCGGGAATTTCGGGCGCACAAGTGGGAAGGACGGGCGGGGAGCGCGGCTCCTGGAGGGGCGGCAGGAGCCGGCCCAGCCCCGCCCCGCGCCCTCAGCCCCGCGCATGCGCGCAGCCAGCCCGGGCACAGGCGGGATGGCGGCCGGGCCGGGGCGCGGGGCTCGTCCCAGACCGGGCACACCGGGAAGCGAGGGGGAGATGGCCCAGGCCGGTTACCTGGCCGAGGGTCCCGCGGTGTAGGGCCCGGATCAGGCCACTCGGTGTCGCCATGGCAAACGCGGGAAGGAAGAGGCAGGGGGAAGGGAAACAGGGCAGGAGCCCGGCAGGGTCCGCGCATGTCCCGCAGGCGCGGTGCCGGAGCGGCCGCCGGTGGGGCGCGGTTACCGGGAAGGGGCGGCGCTGGTGTCGGCATTGGCACAGGCCCGTGTCGGGGTGAAGGGCGTTGCTTCCCGTTTTCCATGGCTCCCGCCTGGTCTGCGGGGTGCCCTTGAAGCGACGCCTCTCAGCAGCGCGTCCCATCGGGGCCTCCTCCAGCCCTGCATCCTGCCGGCCGCCTGGCCTTGCCCACGGCAGCTCTCCCACGAAGAGATTGCAGCGTGGCCGCTGCTGGAAGATGCGTGCTTCTGCCCGTCCTGTCAAACTTAACCAAAGCCAGCCCCTGTAGAAACCCCCGAAAAGCTGCTTTCTGCCCTCAATCGGCTCTGCCCGACAGCCGAGGCAGAATCAGCTCTCGTAGTCCAGCACCTCAGACACAGCGTGTCCCCAAGTCCGGTCTTTGTGCCCATGTCTCTTCCATTGCACCAGGTAATAGAACCAAAGCAGGAAACACCGAAGTTACCGATGAGGGTTGACAAGCTCCCGAAGAAGTCGCACATCAACCCCTCCTGTCAGCTCCTCTGCAAGAGGTGCCTGGCTTCTCCCCGGTTCATTTCTCCCCAGGCTGGGAAGCCACAAAACGCTACCAGTATTCAGGTGGTGAGAACCCAAGGTCATCTGCAGGTCTGCAGGCATCTGTGACAGTGACTGTGGGAATCTGCTGTTGCAGGCCCCAGGAAAACAAACCACCGATCAGGAAAGAAGGTGCACTTGTAGGTCTGTTACCAGTGGCACTGTGCATTGATTGGACCAGTGATTATTTCCAGTAGCCCACTGCAACCCTGTCACTGAGGATATTATTATAGAATGTTCCCAAGTCTAAAATCTGGGTTTAGTAGTTAATCCCACTGTAAATTTACATAACTGTTTATTTATTTTCACTTTGATGCATTGGTTAGTGACAATTTTTATATTTTAAAACGATGTATGTAGAGTGCTTAGTACGTAAGAGCGTAATCTTCATTTACTTTCCCAAGCACTGCTCTGATACAAATGGTAAAAAATTGACTTTGATATTTTTAAGAACTTTAACTTGAACCCAGAAATTGCACATACAAATTTTTTTCATAATTTGCATCATCACTATAAATATTTTTCTTAATTGGAGCTGAAAACTTCTATGTGTGATGTTCATCTTTGATGTTTTTATTGTTTCAGCAAATATGTGTCAGCCATTTTTGAGAACATAGCTAGGCAAAAATGATGTGAAGCTCGAAGTGGGAAACATCAGGGAAGATGCTGAAAAATTGACTATGTTTTGAGATTTTCTAATTTTAAGACCATAAAAATGATTGGACAAAACCTTGTGGCTGCTCCACTAATGTGAGACTGAAGATATGATCTGAGTGGCAATTCTGATGATGGAAAGGATGGGCAGCTCCCTACCCCCTGCCTCCCATATAGAACTGTTCTCTTTTGGAGACTAAAGGCAGCAGGTAGAGCTGTCTTAAACTAATGCCATGCAGAGGGGGATGCTGGAAACAAATGGGTTATACCTTCAAAAAGTTGCAAAGAAAATTGATGGAATGTGATAAGAAAATGTTAAGACAATTTTTCACTTGCAAATAATTTAAACCAAAAACCCTTTCTGGTATGTTTACCAGGGAGAAATCTTTCAGCATCTAATAAATATCAGTATTATAATGTGGTTATAAATCAGTAACTTAAACATTGGTTTGAGTCAAAATGATGAAGGAAAAAGGCTGTGTAGAATTCAGCAATAAAAAGCTAAAGAATGACGATGAAGTTAATACTACTGAAAAAGCCTTAGTGTGCATTTTCAAGGTTATTAGAATTTGAGTTAATAAATGAAAAGGTGATGCTTTTTAGACTTGTAATACCTTTGACTTAGTATCACAGAGAATTCTGATAAACATCCATGAAATGGCTAAGGGCTGATCAGATGACAGGTCTTCAAAAGTACCTGTAATAGTAGAGTTTTAGGGTGACTTGTGCTTTTTCCTGCTTGATACTGCTGCTGGTAATCTGGAAATAGATTCTGAATAATTCAAGTTGAAATATGCTGCTGATAAAAATATTGACAGACTTGTAAATAAAACTAAAGCATCATGTTCATACAGATAATAGGAATCTATTAAAGCAAAGTATGTTTTAAAATCAAATTGAAACAGAAGTAAAAAGCTGAATTAAAGTTGGATTTTTTTCTTTAACCAGAACTGAGCCTGTGTTACTATTTTTAAGTCTTTAACCCAAATTTAAGCTGAACCAAAAAAAAAAAAAAAAAACCACCACAAAATTTAAACAGTTCTTTAACACAAGAAGAGCCCACTGCTATGGCAGAAATCTAGCAGGGGCAGAAGAATAAGCATGGGATATTCTTGATGCAGGCAGAGAGGCAGAGTGGTATGAATGTGCAAGGCAGGTGAGATGAGGAAGAGGTTGGCTTGAGAATCCCAGAGAAGATGACATGACTTGCATCCTGAGAGATAGCCAAGTTAAGAGAGGAGAAGGATTCACTGCAAATATTTATTGTCCTCTGAAATCTCCTGCTGATGCCAAAACACCTCTGACCTCTCTCGTGTACTATTCCTAGAGACTTTCCCCCTACCCTTATTATTCCAATGCACATTATGAATCCATTCACGACTACTGAGATGTGAGGAATTTGCTACAGAGCCAAAATTAGGAAAATTTGATAAACCAGAACTTGGTTAAAATATCACCAGTGCAATTTGCTGATCTTAATACTACCAAACTGACTGTGGATTTAGAAACAAGAGTTTTAAACCAAATCTTTCAGATCAGTGTGCATCCCATGGGACATGGTGATTTTGCAAGAGATCTAGAGATTGTGTTGGACAAGTAAATCTATTTGCTAATGATGTCCTGTAGCTTATAGAGTCAAGTTTTTAGTACTGGGGTACCAGTCAGAATTCGCTAAGTCCACTTCGGATTTCCGTGCTTGAAAAGAGATATTGCAAAATCAGGGCACATGATAGCTGTAAAATTATTTAAGAAAAGACTAGGTACATGCATAGTTCAGTAATCAGTGAAGATGCAGGAAGTCCTAGAAGCAGAACAGGAAGCCTGTGATTCTTTTTCCAGGTAGGAAGACCTCTGTAGCTGGGTTACAGTCCACCAAACTTTTATTTTCATGAAACCTTCATGAGACAGTGCTTTCCACAGGAGTATGTAACATTCTGTGATGTGAACAGGGTTCTGGGGATCAGTTAGGGATGTGTGGAAGGTTTTTATGCACAGCCTTCTTGTCTTGCCTAACATAGAAATTAGAAGTTTGGGTTTTGGCAGCAGAGTGTAAAATGGATGAATTGTTCAAGAAGCTGAATAAATTTTGAAAACCTGGGTTTATTCCTTGCTACTGTGAAAAATCATGTGCACTAAAATTTTTTGTTCCTCACCTGAAAAAATATTAGAAATTCTCTACACTCCTATCTAAAAGCTATTTTTTTTGTTACTGTTTTCAATGTACCACATGCTAAAAACATGAAACAGTCTAAAATATTAGAACCTGTTAATTTAACGTGTAAGATTTATGTTTTATGCTTGATCTATTTGCACTTTATCTCCCATCTTTAAGACAGAGTAACAGTTATTCAGCATTGTCAAAATAATTGTCAAAATAATTTCACTTATACTCGAATCATTCACATCTTCTGGTTGAAAAAAAAACGTAGAAGGAAATTAAGGAAATTAGTAACTTTCTACTCAATGAAGGGATTATGACAGGAAATCCTATGTTAAGAAAGATTTGGACACCATTTTGGATCAAAAACGTATTTTAAAAAAATCAACAAAACTCAATAAAGCAAGACCTTTGCAGAAAAAGTAGCATACTATGATATAGCTAGAGACAGTATCATCATATTTATACAAGAGAGGGAAATTAATTAAATCACATCACAGGGTTGATGCTGTCATTTTTCAGTTTCTGAGTGATCATGTATTTTAATGTAGCTTGTGAGAGGGGTAATTATAATTGTTTTTATTGTTTGCTGCAGCATTGCTCAGATATTGTCTAAATCAGGATGCCTTTGTGCTGTGCATTACTCAAGTACGCACCAGATGACAGCCTCTGCTCCAAATAGCTCACAGTTGAAAAAAAAGTGAACACAGATCAAAGAGTGCATGACACACAAGAGTGGTAAATTAATTTGCAGAAATCAATATTCAAATATTGTTGTTTTTCAAGTGAAGGTTGTCGTTAGCAAGGTACTACTCGAATGAAAGAGCAAGGAAAGGGGATTTAGGCAAACTGGAGAAGGCAGAGAAAGGAGACCAGGGAGGTTGTGATGTGAAGAAGAGTGAGAGCAGAAGTTTGAACAGGCAGCCAAACAGCACAGGAAAGAGCCCAGGCAAACCCTTCACACTGTCATACGTAAAGAACTTCACTTGAGATGTGTAGATTAGTGTAGTTTAAAAAGCACATCTTCAAAATTCTTGAGAGCCTAGAGGTTAGCAGCAAGACTGGCTGAAGAGGGTGAAGCAATTACTCTTACCTGTTTCATTTTGTATTTTACACATGCTATGGAAGAATCTTTTGGCCATTTTTATACATCTGTCTGTTCAGTGAAGCTTTAGCAGGGTAGTCACTTGGAAGTGCCGAAGATATGGCAGAGAGCAGGAAGAAGAATTGTACTGTCTCTTGTATGCTGAAACTGTTGGTGGTATCAAACCATTGCTGAGAGCTATATCCTCTGAAGTTACTGGAAAAACACTGTTGGTAGCCACTGAGAAATAAAAACACCTAGAATCTTCTGAAATCTGTAAACCTTTTCTCTATATTGGGGAAAAGAAATCTTTCCTACGTGTTCTTTTGTATTATCATCAGTTATGGTGACTGTGTTCTTTACATTCATTTTGAATCTGTGTTTCCTGTCATGAGCAGATTAAAAACAGAAGAGAGTGGAGTGAAAGTTTTCTATTGCAAACATCTGTTTCTGAAAAAGGATTGTATTTCCATGTCCTGGAACA